CCCTAGGTGAATGATGATGACTGCAGTTTTCAAGACCCCCATACGGAAACCCAGTCTCAGAAGTTTTTTCAATGATCCGCAACCCACTCCTTGCGTGTTTGCGCCCTTTCTTTCGGATCGTTCTTTCACGATCTTTCTTTCACGATCTTTCTTTCACGACCTTTCTCTTCGGTGCTGGCGTTTTAGCCCGGCTGAAAAACTGGCCCCTTGTGGTTGCGGGGAAAAAAATGGATAATGCCTTGGTGACCTATGATTGTTTGCTGCAGGGTATTCAGAAGCGAGTTACAGCATTGGATTGGAGTTATGGAGGTGTGCAATTGTTATCTGCATGTGAGAATGACAGTGTGTTTATATACGGTCGTGAATTCAAAGCTGGTCCATGGAGTGTGCGTGCTTTATACAGTCGGAAACATGGTGCGGAGCAGACTCGGTTTGTAGGTTCCTCTCACAAGTTAGCGTTGGCATTATCTTCGTTCGATCGTAGTACGACAAGTAGTGTAGGACGTATATGGGATTTGAATCAGAACCGGTTCCTCGTGGAATACGATTTTGGTGCTAAGGTGTTACGAGGAAATGGTATTGCTCATCATGGTTCGAGTAACTTATTTCTTGCCAATCTTTTAAATGGGTCTGTCGCACTCCATACCGCCGACTACTCGAGACCCCTTGCCGTCTTCACGACCACCGAGCCCATGACCACCTTTAGTCCAAGCTACCCCAGTGGCCCAATCGGCGGCCTCAGCAAGACTGGTGAAGGCAGCGTTGGTAGCGGCGTTGGTGGCGGCGTTGGTAGCGGCATTGCCACCGGCATTACCACCGGCATTACCACCGGCATTGCCACCGGCGATAATCTATATAGGAACTTCTTTCCCGTGTCATCCTTCGACCCCACCTCAACCACCATCGCCATTGCGACCGACCCCAAGACCATAAAACTACTCGACACGAGACACCTCACACAAGGTCCATACGCCATCCTACCCATCTCGCCACGCGCCGGTGCAACCGAACGGGAAGGACTCGGCGGCTTCGTCCGCTCTCTCGACTTCACCCCACTCTCCGGCCACCTCCTCGTCACCACTAGCGAAGGACGCCTTTTCACCATGGAACCCTGCTCAGGAGCCATATTAACCGAGTTCACACCACGCAACTCACGCCTCGTCTGCTCACAGCCGCGACCGGAAAGCGCGTGTGCAGCCTCCATCGCACACTCCGCCTGCGGCTTCGGCTACCCCCAAATCTCACCCGACGAGTCACTCATCGCCTGTGGCCTCTACGACTCGGACTGTGACCACGGCATCGTCCAACTCTGGTGCAATCGATCCGGCGGTGGCAACGTCGACGCGAAGCCACTTTCCGACCGAGACCTGCGCGACAGAGAACGAGATCGCGACCTGCGGGACCGAGACCCGCGGGACCGCGACCCTCGGGACCTTCGGGACGTTCGGGACCCTCGGGACCTTCGGGACGCTCGGGACGCTCGGGACACTCGGGACCGTAATGATGCTCGTGGCCTTCGTGACCCACGGGACCGCGACTTCCGCGACCTCCGGGACCCTGCTCGAGACCGAGATCGCGACGACCCTCGAGAGCGACAGCTGGCGTTCGGCCGGTTCCCGGACTTGCCGTACTTTCTGGCGTTCAATCCGACCATGTCGGAAATTGCGGTGGGCGACATTACAACAACCTCCTGGGTCATTGAGCCGCGCAAGGAGTCCGTGAAGGACTCCACGTCGCCGCCACCCAGAGAGAAGAGAGAAGTCATGGAACGCGTGCCCAGCGGGGAGTGTCCTCCGCCGCCACCACGAGAGAAGAGGCCAGAAGATGAGGGCCCGGGCTGGGCCCCCGGAAGACCGCGTAAACCGCCGCCAAGTGCTCGAGACCCAGGTCGGCGCTTGGGGACGGCCGCGGGACAGCCTTACCGATGAAGAGTCTTGAGCCCGCGGTTCAGAAACAAAAGTCGGAACCGGGGTCTCTGGTGGGAGTCGCTGGTGGTGAGAGCTGGCACTGGTGACAGCCGGTAGTGGTGATCATATACCACGTAACAAGCCGTGGCGTGACAAGCCGTAGCGTAACAAGCCGTAGCGTAGCGTGCTGAGGTGTCGGACGCCGGGCGCAAGGCCCCGGGCGCAGGGCCCCGGGCGCAAGGCCCCGGGCGCAAGGCCCCGGGCACGTATATAGTGCTTGTGAGATGGAGGACGCGATTTTTGGGATTCGTGCTATGGTTTAGCCATGATTTTTTGGTTCATGATTAATTCGAATCGCTGCATCACGGAGCTATGTCAGGACTGGCAAGGGTACAAGCTTCCTGTTGCCCCGGAATTCAAAGAGACTGAAGGAATTGAAAGTGGGCAGCAGTGTGCGATACAATGATTTTGTTGCAGACGTGCGCCGATTGATACGGGAGTTGGGGGAGGTAAGAGCTGCGCGTGCAATTGTGGACAAAGAGCGATGCAAGCTGATAGGGAAAGCAAGCCGATGGGTTGTGAACGGGACCGTGACTGACCCTGATTACTGTTGGCAATGTATGTTCTATGGAGCTTCCTTTAGTCAGGCTGACGCACCTATTATAGTCAAAAATGTTAAGCTCTTCATATTTAAAGAAACCAAGATGCTACAAGACAGGATGCTTGAAAGCAAGAATACCGAGAATGGGGGGATCAAGGCGGCAGAGACTCAGACCGAGCATATATCACAGTCAGAGAGCAAGAAGAATATTGGTCTTCAATTCCGAGACAACGATCTTATTCACAAAATCATAACGCTGCCTTCCGGGTTTTGTAACTGGCGACTCGTTGCCGGATTCAAGCCTGATCTCATCGACTTACTGCAGACAATCCGAGACGTTTGCAAAGCTCACCATCAGTCTGTCGAAACGGTTCTGGATGTTAATCGGGAGTTGCGATCCGTTCTACTCCCCCCGTCGATTCCGCGCGATTGTACAGACCTCAACCTCGACGACCAAAATATGGACAGGTATGCCAAGTCCATTCTGGCATACATGTATCGAAACATCATCATACCCGTGGATGAATACGGTCTGGACATCTGCAACAAGATTTTAGACAAAAAGGCCAGTCGCGTGAAAGATGAAATTTCAGGACATTATGTCAGAATTAAACTGCATCTATCAGACTATTCAACCTCATCGTACTCATCTCCAGTCCATATTGCGGACCTAATTCAAGAAATTATCGACGATCACGGTAAAATCCAAAAATATTATAGCGGCGCACACACGTGTTCTGTTGATAAAATTCCGCGGCTGCTTGGTGAAATTGAGACCATTATCAACGAACATGAAAATCTATTGACGGCGCAGGTGAGAAATCTCCAGAGAATTGTAAAAAAGAAAAACTTCGGGATCTCAGAAGACACTGTTTCGCAAATACTCGCCAGCGACAGGTCATTATTCTTGTCTCGGTTAAAGAGCGTATCGCCCAATCCAGCAGCCAACATAGTGACCAGCGACGGCCAAAGCGATGGTCGCAGCAAGTAGCGTAAATTACCATACCGCAGCAAATTAATGTTTTTCTTGTTTTGTTTTACGACTGTTTTATTGTCATTGTTTTTCTTTCTTTCTTTCTTTCTTCCTTGGGGCGTGCGTGTTGTTGATATTGTGAAGTAACAAAAAATTTGAACTCGCATTGATTGGTTTGCCAAACACGTCCATTGGTACGCCTGGCACGCGCGTCATTCCGCCAATGTGTTCTTCCCGCCAATGTGTTCTTCTCACGTCTTATTGTTCAGCGGAGTAGGTATAGTTCTTGAACGTGCCGGTGTAGGCATTGATTCTGGTCGTGATCTTTGATCTGTCCCACTCAGGGGGATGTGTATAGTTGCAAGCAACGTTGGGACAGTTGATTCCGTATCGGCAAGGGACGTTTGGGTGTATGTAAAAGCATTCGTCGCCGAAGTTGCAGTGCGGCCAGTTAACGCACTGCTCGGAAGGATGTATATACCGGCACTCTTCGCCGTATGGGCAATTGGGGAACTTGGCGCAGCGCTTCTTAATCTTCCGCAATTTGGCCAATGGTAACAAAGCCATCTGCGCACCTGTCTGGGGATCCATAAATATAGGGCTACCGCCGCGATAGCTCGGCTGCTGGGGGGGTTGGCGATGAGAAGGCGGTTCCCGTTGGGGGACAGGAGCAGAGCTCATCTCCTCGTACTGCTGGGGGACGGACGGCTCCTCCATCGGCACCGGCGCCGCTTCTGACTGCGCTGCTTGTTGCTTCATCGTCACCTCCTCATTTATTATAGGTCCAACAGTCCCTATCAGCCATTCCACAAATTCGTCTGTCTAAAACCACAAAGAACTAAGAAGGGGCCGCATGAACAAAAGAAACACATAGCGATCAAAATTTGACCACAAGAGCTGAGGATGTTACTTGAGAGGAGGTGCTTACATCGTGGGCTAAAAATTCTCGCAGCTCTTCAGTCACATGCTCCTTGGTGGTTTTGGGTCTCGTCACCATGTGCCAAACATAATCAGTCAGAATCTCCACGCCTTCCTCACCCAGCATGTTGCTTAACTTCTGCGTGATTGCGCTTTGGCATCGAGCAGCTGTCGTCTCCGACAAGGACGACATTTTATTCCCCAAAAAATCCACAACTCCGGCAATCGCCGGTGGCCTTCTCTGCACTTGAACAGCAACACACAAGAGGTTTGGCCCAAACAAACGCTGGGTTATCAGGCACCCCCATAGGCCGCACACGCGTGCACACACGCGTTTGCTAATCTCTGGACACCGTTCTAAGCCATCCGAGGAGCCTCGCCCGGGTTCATTTTTTATGACTCAAGACTTCATAGTGGGGAAAGACGGGTACGAAGGCGGCGAAGAAGTCTGGGAATGCTCCCAGGATCTGGTGGACTATATTCGGCAAGCCGGCAATGATATAACACGATCCTTATGTAGCGACCAAGATGGCGAACCGCTACGAATTTTGGAGTTGGGATGCGGACACGCCAAGCCCTCGTGGGCCCTTGTTTCAGAGCTGGATAAACTTGGCGTTCTTTGGACGTTGACCTTGCAGGATTTGGATGCGCCGTCGCTAGAGAAAGCGCGTGAAACTTTCGCACAATACCGCAATTTGGATCGCGTCCAATTCGTTGAGGGAGAATGGTCTCAACTAGGCGACACTCAACTAGCTAGCACGCCCTATGACATTGTCCTCATGTCGGAAACGTTGTACCGCGCCTCTATATTCCCTGTTCTCAGCCGGCTGTTGCGACAGGTGCTGGCCCCGCAATCTGGCTTGTGCCTGTCCGCCCAGAAGCGATTCTACTTCGGTCTAGACGGGGGGAGCCTTCCGTTTCTGCTGTACACAAAGGAGAACGGCTGCGGCCTTAGCTGTCGGCTCGTTAAAGACCTACAGGACGGACGCAGCAACATCAGGGACATCATGGCCATAACGTCTGCATCAACTTCGCCATAGACCCCTATTGACCGGGACCCTGCTTATGACAGGCGACTTCGAGTTCAGTCGTCGCCGTCGTCACCATCGCCCCAGTTGGAAAAGAGGTTGGGGACGTCTTCATCGTCTACCATGGCAGCGTCCATCACGCTAGTAGCCATCGGGGCGTCTTGTTCGTCCGGAGAATTGCGCACCAAAACTTCCGCCGTCCCCGTGCTGCCCTCGAGTTCGCGATCCGACTCAGACGCCTGCTTGTCCGCAAACCTAGTCGGCTTTGCATTTGCGGAATCGGCCTCTTCTCTTTTGGAAGCGCCGGGTCGTGGGGTAGGCGTTTTCGAGTTCGCTCGCTTCTTGGCCGTGACGGCTTTGGTAGTCGGTCTCTTGGTCGTGGCTGCCTTGGTGGCGGCTGCCTTGGTGGTGGCTGCTTTAGTAGTCGCTCTTTTAGCTATCCGCACAACAGTGTCATCGACTACTGGGTCAGACGCTTGAATCCGCTCTGTTTTGGGTTTAGAGTTTTGTTTGGTATTCTGGTTAGTATTATCTAGGGCGTCGCGCAATGTATCGGTCATATGACTTAGGCTAATGCCGTGCTCTTGAAGTATCGCGTGTAGTCGTCGGATCTCTTGCTTTTTTGTGTTTATTAACACAGTAGCTTTTCGCAGGATATCCATTCTTTCCGAGTCTTGCTTGTCCACTAGACGCTCCGTTTTAGCGGTAACTTCATCGATTAGCTTCGACAAGTGGATCATAGCATCGAACAACTTTGTGTTTAGATTCCAGCTGAGAAGCTGGTGTTTGAACGCCAGCATCACAAACTTGCCTGGGACCTCATATTTACTCAGTAATCCTTCCTCGTGCTGATCGTGACATTTATTTACGGTGAAAGGCTTGGTGAATACGCTCACTCCGTCGTATTTTATATTAAGCGCACACGTGTGCGGCGCGCCGGAATCTTTACTTTTTGGTCCTGGTTTCGAGGTTGGTCCAAATCCCACCTGGCAATGTTTAGAGCCCCCCAAGCTAATAGATCTGTAAACTAGAACCTTATCTGAGATAATATCCTTAGCATAGACATGCCCTGTATAGTAATCGAATCCGTCGTAAATGAAGAGTTCGCATACAGGTTCGTCCTTGGGTGACTTATCGTCATCCACATTATTATGTCGAATCCAGGATTCTTCCCATTCTGCCACAAGGCACAGCTTACTAATCGGCGCTAGATGGGAGGTAGTCTTATTGTATCTTGAAGGGAAAAGTAGAGGTGCACCACCAGCGCTGGCTGCGCTGCTATGATCCGTTTTCACGTTAACAATGGAGAAGGAGATCGCGCAGTATTGAATGCAGTCATCGTAAACGACGTGAAAAATGGGTTGGCTGAGCGACAGTGGTAATACATTAGGCCCTGCTTCTTCGTCATCCCTTCCGAATTGCGTGAAGCTTGTGGGGTTAAATAACACATCAATTAAAGTGTCCATAAAATGTCCTCCTCCCCCGCCCCCCCGGACCTGGACTCAAACTTGAAGAAGCGCCATGACTGGTACGAGTTCGCGGTGATGAACTTGCAAGACCGAATTGGACTCACCCACAATGACGTTAAAACAAGGCTAACGTGGCTGCTAAATAACAACAGGAAGCCTACTGAGCCTACCAGTAATCCTCCTGCACTGATAGCTGTGCACAAAGCCGGCTACACGGCGGAGTACAGTTACGCCAGGCGGGGTCCAGTTACACCCGCCGTGGTACACCTAAATACACTTTATAACCGGGGATGTATAAGCCCCGTACACGGGAAAGCGTCTGCACACACGTGTGTATCTGTTCAAGATACACACGCGTGTGCACATAAACACCTGTGCACCTAATCGCATTAATTGTGTATGCATTGGGCGTAAATAGCGTGTTTTAGTTGAGGGTCAGATTGACGCTAATGCGAGCGAGTTGCTGATCGCATGTATTAATAAGTTGCTGATTGAGGTGTGTATTAAGGCTCGAGAGAATTCGATTCAGCGCCGTTCGGGCGTGATAGAGTACAGGGACATGTTGATGGCAATTATCGGTTCGAACGGGTTCATGGCTGAGTTATGGGAGAAGCATGGGCGCACATCGACGTTGGAGTCGTTGACCCTCCCGGGTCGCTGGGACCGAGCGGGTGCCACATGGAACCACCCTGCAGTACCGAGTGGGGGGGACAAATTGGAGAGCCAAGCGGTGATCAGTTGTCTGGCTGACGAGATCAATGCTTTGAACGATACTCTTTCTTATCGCCGGTTCGACAGCAAGAGGCTGCAAAGGAACAAACGGCTGGACAACAAAATGTAGCCCTCCCTCCGGTTCTTCTGCCCCCCCCTCCGGTTCTTCTGCCCCCCCCTCCGGTTCTTCTCCCCCCCACCTCCGGGTCTGCACCCCCCCCCCCCGTCACCTGGGGTTGAAGGGACTGAAACAAGGG